CGTTTTCCTGATGACCTGTTGCTTTCAACAAGCATTTCTAAAACCCTTCCTACATCAGGAATATTGTGCCGTGTGCTCAGGAACATAATATATTTTATGACAAGCTCCCTTATGGAGCTTACCAGCTAGTAGTGGGAGATAATACAGATAATTATAATGTAAAATATCACATGATAAGTGCATTAGAGAGTTGCAAAATTAAGCGCATCTCACACTTATCTGGAGGAAGAAAGTAAACTTTGTTTTCAACGCGTTCAGTTTGAGGCGCTCGCAGGACATCGTGTTCAGAATTCCCAGTAGGCAGTTGTTCATGTGGGACAGGAGGTCAGGAAAGAGATTGTCACTAAATAAACAGAACAGACTGAGAATCAGTCGCCTCAAGGCGATAAGTGAAGACACGGGCGCTGATGAGGCCCCCAGGACGTCACATATGTAGAGAGAAAAAGAGAGGGCCTACAGCAGAGCCGTGGGGTACACTCAGAGTATGTGGATGATAGTTGAAGATTCAGCGAAGGCGATTGAGAAGGGGCAGTCGCATACGTAAGATGGAAGCCGAGACAGCGCAGCGGCATCAACAGTAACAAAAAGCAAGGGAAAAGAGTAGAAGAGTCACCAGTACGAAATGCGGTACAGAACTCAAGGAGGGCGAGAGCGACGAAAAAGCCATCTGAACTGCTGTTGGTAGTCTAGCATCTGAAAGGAGATTTAGAACCGTAACCCAAATGCATTAAGCTGCCCATAACCCTTTGACCCACTAGTAGGCAGATACTCCATAAGGGTCAAAGATGAAGGCAATGGACCCATATATGCAGACTTATTTGTAAAGATACTCATTGTTCTAGCAGAGACTTAAAAAGGTGGGTGCCCATTTGTGGAACAGATTGTGGTGAATGAGTGTATAAGAAATGACGGAAGGGAGGGATTCAGAGAAACTCTGACGAGCAGTGAATGAGCAGAAGCAGGACAGTGTTTCACTTAACAACCACAATAATGTAAAGAAAAATTACTTTGAAAGACTTTAGCACTTTGAACAATATAGTGACCAATCATGACTTCATAAAAGTGATGAAGCATGCCTCCTGTCTCTTAGCAGAGGTGAATGAACTAGAGGTCCAGAATGAGGCTTTTATTTTCATACATGAGTAATAGTGTTGATTTTTTCTTTTTTTCTTAAATTTATTTATGTATTTTAAATTTTAATAATTTTTCCAATTACATGTAAAAACAATTTTTAACCATTTTTTACAATTTTGAGTTCCAGATTCTCTCCCATTCTCCCTTCCCTCCCCCTTCATTTAGAAGGCAAGCCATTCAATAAAGTTATACATGTGCAGTCATGCAAAACATATTTCCATATTAGCCATGTTGTGAAAGAAGACAGAAAAAAACTCCAAGAAAAATAAAGTAAAAAAAAAATCCAATATGCTTTGATCTGCATTCCAATTCCACCAGTTTTTTCTCTGGAGGTAGTTGGCATTTTTCATCATAGGCCCAGTATATTTTTCTCAATTGTATGTATTTGTTACTAAGGGAGGATTTCTTTTCTCGGGGAGAGGGGCAGATTTGGGTTAAAAGATATACAGAAAAGATAAGAAACTTCAAGAGACACAGACAAGCAGGGCATTTTCAATGCTTTCTTGAAACTCAGACTATAATAGAGGTTTACATTTCCATACATAATCCTCTTGTCTTCTTTTTTCATATATTGGCATGCTTGTTGGTATTTGTTAAACTCATGAAAAAAGGAGATCATTGATAACTTTGGAAAGAGCAGTTTCAGTTAAATGATGAGGTTCAGGAGTCAGATTGCAAAGGCGTGAGGCATGAGAAGAGAGGAAAAGAAGTGGAAGCAATGAAAGTGAATGGATTTTTTTTTAGAAGTTTGTCTGTGAAAGGGAAGATGACAGCTCCAGGGAATGAGAAAGTTTTTTTTTTTTAAAGACATGAGACATCAGGAAAGCCAGTAGAGATAGATTAAAGATTAGCGATAGAGGATAATTGTGGATGCAGTCTACCAAATGGGATGCATTCAAGGGTATGTAAAGAGGGTTTTAGTGAGAAGGGCCACCTCTTCATTAGTAACCAAAGGAAAAGTGGAGAGAATAGAGGATGAAGTGAAGAGTTTTCAAGATGCAGAGAAAGGAAGAAGAGATGGCTCACTTTTCCATAAAACGTGAGGCAAGGTTCTTCACCCTGAGTGGGTCAGGAGTGGACAGAGAAGAGGTTTGGAAAAGCACTGTGGAGACTGTAATAGAGAATTAGGGAGGAATACAAAGGATTGCCTTGTGGTAGCTGGGGCTCAGATGAGACCAGATACCATACATTCGTGTTTTTAATTTTTTTTCGTCAAACATTTTTTCTCCCTCCCACCTGTCCCAACCTTTTAAACAGTCAAATATAGTCAAACAAAACACATTCGCATATAATGGCTACACCCTAAAATATGTTTCATTCTGCATATTTACCCATCTCTTTCAGGAGGTAAGTTATTCTTCATCATTGGTCCTCGGGAATAATGGTCAATCACTGTGTTGATCAGAGTTCTTTAAGTCTTTCAATATTATTCATTTTTATGTTGTTGTTGTTGTTATTATAGGTACTACAAATTTTTAATGGACACTAAACTACTACAGTAAGAGTTCCTTACTGTATTGGGGGAGATTCTTTGTATCATCGTGTGAACAGTATTCAAGACTTATAACCAAATATGCATTAATAATCATTAGGAATGGGCAACAACTTTAAATATTGATCTATCTTTTGGTTTTTTTCCCCTCAGAGCTGATGTTTTCTTCTGATGTTCAAGAATATCCTAATGTGGATAAAGAAACCATATCCCCTTCATGATGTTAAAAATCTATCTTCCAAACTAGGACAGTATTTTTAATGTTCCAATTGTGATATGTAATGTTTTTGTAGAATGTATTTTTACAAGATGTTTGCAAATGCATTTACAATTACTTTGATTATAGAAACCCATGCCCTAAGATTATGAAAAATATTAAAGTTTTGCACACTGTTTATATCTATCAATTTCCATGGCATTATTATCTCAATGTAGGTAGAAACCTATAAGGGAAAGTGTTTTAATTAATTTTTATTCTTTCCTGTTTTTCCAAATTATATTTGCATCTGTAACATTTATTCCATATGACATTGCAAATGCCCAGAAACACTAATAAGAAAGAAGACAGAACTAGTTAGCATTGCAATATGTAATACATCAAATTTAAACACAAATTCAGGGAATAGAATAAAAAAGACCTATTTATATTCTTAAAAAACCCTTCACTGGATTAGCTTAAATTTAAAATTCAAATTTACTTGTTGGAAAACTGCTTATGAGGTATGTGTCATACAATAACTTCTTCAGCTAATTTAGTTTAACATTTTTATTTCGTGACTAATAAAAAAGAATGTTATCATTTGACAGAAATTTTATAATGAAAGAACAGGTTCATTTCCTATGATTATTTCTATCATTTATAATCAACTACAGGCCTAAAGGGTTATACTGCCACAAATTTGGTGGTATATACATTTTGTGTATGGGTGACTTGGGATTTGCTTTGCTGAAGTTTATAGAAGAAGGTAACCAGGATGAAGAAGGGCTTGGAGTTAATATGAGGATGGGTTGCAGGAACTGGCTATGTTTAGGCTAGTGAAAAGAAGATAGGATGGCCATGTTCAAGTATATTTTAAGGACTAGAGTTATTCTATTTGGCCCCAGAGGGCAGAATCAGGAGCAGCTGAAAAGATGCAAATGTAGGTTTGAGGTCAAGGAGCACTTCCTCACTGAGCAGTCCAGGAGTGAAACATTGCCTGGAGAAGTGTCGGCTCCCATGCTTGGAAGTCTTCAAGCAAAGGCTGAAGGATGCCATGGAAACCTCTTCCAGCTCTAATTCTGTGCTTCCGTTTGTTCACACCTGGACAATGCTGCAATTATTATTCTTAGGTACGTGTTTCATTTTAAAGTCCAGGAGACAAGGCGTGTCCCTTTCTGATGGTTGATATAGTTGTGTTTTATTTGTTAAAGTGTTTTGGTGATACCCTTTGTGTTCACCCTACCTTCATTCCCAAATCCAGTGAATCATCCCTGCCAATAAAGCAAAGAGAGAAAAAATAAATGAGCCAAGTTCTACGCTGGCTCAGGGAAGAGGAGAGAGGTCTGGCCTCTGGTCCCTATCTGTGCAGGAATAACGATGCCCACGTCCACAGTGCCCAGCTGCCCAGACCGGACCGTGATGCCCGGGGACACGGGCGGGCCAAAGGTCCTCGAGGAAGAGCGTGGCTGAGGGGCCGCAGGAAGCGACCACGTGCCCAACCTCGAGAGAGCCATGACAACCGCCTTCCCCCCACCCTGACGGCCCTGGGAGGGGGAGCTCGCGCTCGCAGCTGACACCCCTTCCACCTAGTGACCAACGAGCTCCACCTCTCTCCTCTCTCCTCCCCCCGGCCCGCTCGGCGTGCGCGTGCGCAGTGCCTAGCACAACTCGCTCCCCCCTCCTTCCCCCACTCCCGACCCCCGACCCCCCCACACCCCCCAGCTCGAGCTCAGTAGCAAAGAGTGGCCCGAGCCACCGCGGTCGGTTGAGGGGGCCGGGGTTGGGGGTGGGGGGTGGGGGGACAGGATGGAGTCAAGCCAGGCGGAAAAGAAGTTTTCGGAGCTTAATGAAAGTCAGCGAAACAAGGTCCATTCGCTATTCCAGGTCCCTTTTCTGAACAAAGGCGGCACCGGGTCTGACGACAATGAAGAAGCAAGAAACTTCGACAACATATCGCAGATGTCCTCCCCTCCGGCGTTCGACCACGTCGCGGATCGATCGGGAGGGGAGCAAGGAAGGGACCGGCCGAAAGCTGTTGAACGTGAGGCGGAGGAGAGCATAGAGTGGCTGGGTCTCGGGAGGGCGGTGGGGGCGGGGCGCAGCGGGCCCTCCCCTCCCCCCTGCGCCTGCTGTGGGGGGAGGGGGCGGGGCGGGAGAGGAGGCTGCGAGCCCTTACCCCATGGGGTCTGGCAGTTAAGGATGCATGCCCTGCACGGGACAAACGCCACCCTGCCATTACCCGAAAACCCAGTTATCTGGGGAAATTGGTGGCTACTCCGGCCCTCAACTCGCGCTAGTCAACAAGCATTTATTAAGCACCTGCTGTGTACCAGTCTCACCTAGCCCTGGGAATAGAGCAAAAGACAGCCCCTACTTTCCAGGAGCTCACAGTTTAACGGAGGAGATAATGTTGCAAACTGTGTACAAACAAGCAAATAGACAGGAGAAGTTGGACAAGAAACCGCAGAGGGAAGGCACCGGAATTGAGGGGTTTGTTGCGAAGTAGGTTTAAGGAAGCAGGTTGGCAACAGACCAACAAAACGATCAGCAATCCAGACCCAGAAGGCTTCCCTGGGAAAGAAAAGTTTTCGTTGACCAATATGGAATGTTCTACTAATTTGTATCTGTAGTTTCTGGAGGAGGGAGGGAGTGTGTTGGGGGACATAGACACAGAATTAGAATGGAATTTATCCTAAAGCTTTGGGGTGAATATATGGAATTTTAAACTGGGTGAGTGTAGTTAGTATACTAGGGTTTAATTCTTACTGGGTTAACACCTTTTTTTTAGTGGTTAGCTTTTCTTACAAATGCTAGTGAGAAAGTAACGTTCCAATAAATCCATCAGATTTCACTATTGACTCATCAGCAACGTGGCATAACTTCAGTTGCTTGTCCAGTGGTGGCGATGGGTTCAGTTTAGCCACGCTCTTGTTGTGACCAGGTATATGCATTTGTAAGAAGGCTGACTGGATTGACATATCAAAGGTAACCTGAAACCTGTCCATAGTGGTTAACCTACACCTGAATAGCAGGATTGTATAACTAGATTGGCGAGCAGGATTAAATAAACTCAAATAATTTTTTAATTCCATAATTTTTTTAGAGCTCTAATAATCCCCACAAAAGGCTTTCAACAAATCATGGCATGGAGGCCATGCATTGTACTTGTAAAGTATTCCAGCAGAGCATAGGCTCTGTCAGTTTTTTGCTGGGATTGGAAAGGCTTCAGATACCTTTCTGGCAATAGATTATGTCTGGTCTGAGAATAAACTTAACAAGAGGCTTATCATGAGTAGGTTGGCAGCCCATGAAACAAAATAATATACAAACTGGCTTTGGGTTCTGTAAAGCCCTCTTCTTATTCTGCAGTCATGGTGGCAGTGGCAGAAAAGGGTGTTAAGAATCACAGTGTTTAGTCCACAGGTAATTAGTAATTTAGCATGGTTTTTCAATGTGAGATTATGTCTAGAGACAAAATTAATTTACTAGTAGAAGAACTGAAGCATATTAGTGTTGGTATTTTATTATAAATGAAACCAGAAACCAATAAATTGGAATTAAAGTTGCAGGATACAAGATTAGTACTATCAAAAAATATTTTTCGAGCAGCTAGGTGGTGTAGTAGAGCACTAGCCCTAGAATCAGGAGGACCTGAGTTCGAATGCAGCCTCAGACCCATAGCACTCACTAGCTATGTGACTTCACGGCAAGTCACTTAACCCTTAACTCCAATTGCCTCACCAAAAAAACCCCAAAACTCTAAATTATCAGGGCAACTAGGTGGTGTAGTGGATAGAGCTCCAGCCTTGTAGTCGGGAGGACCTGAGTTCAAATCCAGCCTCACTTGATACTTTCTAGATATATGACCCTGGGCAACTAACTTAACCCCAATTGCCTCACCAAAAAGAGGGGGAAAAAAGATGTTTTTGAAAATCATAAAAGATGTCCTATTTATAATAACAAATGCCATTACATATTTGGGAATTAGCCTAGAAATCTACATATGGAAAAGAACAATCATAAAACCAAAATGATGGAAATAAAACGCAGTAAATTATTGGATAGACATTCAGTATTCATGGAAGGTTTGGATTATTCTAGTAAAATGACTCCCACTAGGGGCAGCTAGGTGGCGCAATGGATAGAGCACTGGCCCTGAAGTCAGGAGGACCTGAGTTCAAATCCAGCCTCAGACCAAACATGATCTTGGCCAAGTCACTTAACCCCAGTTGCCTAAAAGGAAAAAAAAATGACTACCGCTGCAATTAAGCATCCTATTTAATGCAATATGAATTAAAATGCCAAGGGATTTCTTCATATAACTAGATAAAATCATAATGAAATTAATATGGAAAAACACAAGAATACCTATGATTATGCTTTAACAACAACAACAAAAAAGATGATATTGTGTTTTAACTTTACAGTTTATAAAATAGCAATTATCTTCAAAACTATGGTACTTGGGGGTAAAAATAGATCATGTAATAGATTAGCCATACCAGACATTCAACCAAATCTATATAAAACATTAGTGTTTGATAAACCTGTAGAAGATAAAACCTGGGGAGCAGAGCCAAGATGGCAGAGTAAAAGCAGTGACTTACTCGAGGTATCTCCCAAACCCCTCCAAATACCAGTAAAAAATGACTCTAAAATTCTAGAGCAGCAGAACGCACAAAAAGACAGAGCGAAACAAATTTCCAGCCCAAGAAAACCTGGATGGTTGATGGGAAAGGTCTGTTGTGCCAGGCTGGGGGAGGAGCACAATTCAGTGTGGGCTGTGTAGCCGAAGACAGGGCCAGAGCAAACCTGAAGCAGGTCTCAGGAGAATGAATCATGGGCAGTTGTGGTGGTTTCCAGACTTCTCAACCCACAAACACTAAAGACAATTTAGAAGGTCAGTGGGAAAAGTCTGTTGGACCTGAGTGAGAGAATAATGTGGTCCTGCCCTGGCCATAGCACAGCCACAAGGCTTGCCCACAGACTGTGGGGGGGGTTGAGTAGGTGATCAGAGGGGGATTGCAGGGATCTCTTTGCTGGTGCTGAGGCAGGATTCTCTTGCTTTGCCTGTGCTTGAATCTAGGCCACAGTCCTGGGTGGTGGTCCTGGGGTAAGGAGGCATGCTGGCATGGAGGAGCTTGAGGCCACCATAGAGAGGGACTCTTCCTCATAGTTCCAAGGCAGAAAAGAGTGCTTGTGGTCACTTATAGACCAGAGCACAGGCATAAAGGAGTAAACACCTTTCCTTTGATCATACCACCTTGGAAGAACTGAAAATTTACAGGTCCCTAGAAGTATCTCTGAAAACAGCTGCGCAAAACTTCCAAAGCTTAGGACAGTGGAAGCAGAGCCCTACCTTAACAAAGAGTTTAAAAGTCAAATAATTGGCTGAGAACATGAGAAAACAGAGGAAAAGAACTGCATCTATAGAATCTTACTTTGGTGACAAAGAAGATCAAAACATATAACCAGAAAAAGACAACAAAGTCAAAGATCCTACATCCAAAGCCTCCAAGAAAAAGATGAATTGGTCTCAGGCATAGAAGAGCTCAAAAAGGATTTTGAAAATCAAGAGAAGTAGAGGAAAAATTGGGAAGAGAAATGAGAGTGATGCAAGAAAATCATGAAAAGCAGGTCAACAACTTGCTAAAGGAGACCCCAAAGGAAAACTCCTAGGAATGTTATAGCCAAATTCCAGAGTTCCCAGGTCAAGGAGAAAATATTGCAAGCAGCCGGAAAGAAATAATTCAAATATTGTGGAAGCACAATCAGGATAACACAGGATTTAGCAGCTTCTATATTAAGGGATTGGAGAGCTTGAAATATAATATTCTGGAGGTCAAAGGAGCTAAGATTAAAACCAAAAATCACCTACTCAGCAAAACTGAGTATAATCCTTTTGGGGAAAAAATTGATATTCAATGAAATAGAAGACTTTCAAACATTCTTGATGAAAAGACCAGAGCTGAATAGAAAATTTCACTTTCAAATACAGGACTCAAGAGAAGCATGATATAGACAGAGGTCACAGGTGAGTTAAATATGAAGGGATGATATTTAAAAAATTAAGGGGTGAGAGAGGATTATACTGGAAGAAAGAGAAAGGGAGAAGTAGAATGGGGTAAATTATCTTACACAAAAGAGGCAAGAAAAAGCTTTTATAGTGGAGGGGAAGAGAAGGTGAGAGGGAATGAGTGAATCTTACTCTCATCAGATTTGGCTTCAGGAGGGAATAACATACACACACACAATTGGGTACGGAAATTTGTCTTACCGTACAAGAAAATAGGGAGAAAGTGGATGAGTGGGGGGATGATAGAAGGAAGGGCAGATTGAGGGAGGGAGTAATCAGAAGAAAACACTTCTGAGGAAAGACAGGGTGAAAGGAGATTAGAATAAATGGGGGGCAGGATAATATGGAGGGAAATATAGTCTTTCACCACATGATTGTTATGGAAGTGTTTTGCATAACTACACATGTATAACCTTCTCAATGAGGGTGGGTGGGGAGGGAGGAAGGGAGAGAATTTGAAACTCAAAAGTTTTAAAAACTATTGTTAAAAATTGTTTTTAAATGCAGCTGGGAAATATGATATACAGACAATGGAGTATAGAAATCTATCCTGCCCTACAGGAAAATAGAAGGGGAAGGGGATAAGAAAAGTGGGAGGTGGTGATAGAAGAGAGGGCAGACTGGCTTAAGGGGTATGCAGAATGGATGCCATCTTGGGGTGGGGGGAGGGACGAGATGGGGAGAAAATTTGGAACTCAAAATCTTGTGGAAGTGAATGTTGAAAACTAAAAATAATTAATTTTTTTAAAAAAGAAAAGAAAACCTGGGTAAAGGAATTTTTAAAAAATTATGAACTTAATCATCAACAGACATTTCAGTATGCAAAGAAGAAGAAAAAAGGATTGTATATGAAATTGAGAAATTGTTAGTTTTCAAGTGTATATTAAATTTAACAAGGTAGTAATAAAATTGCCCTATTTGTTTATGTCCCCTTTTGAATTTCTTGTTGTTTCCTTCTGTGTATGTAGTGTTTTATCGATACTCTTTTCTTTTTAAAAAGTTTTACACATCTTATCACTACCCACTCACTCCTACCTCCAAATAGAATTCTTTTCTAGAGTCAAGCAAAACAAATCAGTAGGCCATGTCTGAAAATGTTTGTCTCATTTTCTACTTCTAGTCTGTCAGGGAATAGGATTAGTCTTTAGCAAATTATAAGAGAAAATTGGGTAGCAAGTTGGCAAAAAGTAGATTTAGAATTACATCTAATGCCATATACCTTAGTGAAATCCGGCTGGATAATAGAATTAAACATGGCATATCTCAGTTGTGGAAGAAAAATTATTTTTTTTCTGCTAAACAAATAGAAGAGATTATTAAGGATGCAATACATATACTTTCCTACATAAAATTAAAACACTTCTACATTAAGGAAAAAAAAACCAAACCCTATGAAATTAAAAGAGAAACAGTTTGGGAAGATATA